GTTTTTCTATGTGCACTCCCTTGTTGTCTTTTTGGGATGGATAGGGGCGGATTTTATGGGAGTACTCCCGTATTGCTCCCTTAGGAGGTTTGTGGGATGATATTTCTGTGTGTGCTCCCCGATCGCTCGTTTAGGAGGTAAAAGGGATTACTCCCCCTCCTAGGACATACAATGTTAAAGGGAGTATACAAAATTACATGCTTATACACAGAAGCATAGGGAGCAATGGGGAGTATTCGTATGCTCCCAAGGGAGTACTCACCGAGCAATCGTACGATGCTCCCCAGTTCTACTGGGTATGTACGAATGTATGTACATATGTACATCCGGCAATAAAAAGTGTTTTAAAATATTAAGTTTCTGAAATGATGGAGCCAAATTTGAATGATTTTTGGCGAGCTTTAATGCACTGCTATTAAGGTGGAAAGTTAGGATGATAAGAGCTGTGATCTGGTGGATAAATACTAGAATGGGATAATTGACGCCAATGAACTTTGAAACAAAAAAATTTCTTCTGGATGCAATAACTTCGATACATCATACTTTAAGATTCGACTGTATGTAAATACCGAAAGTATGACGAAAAATGTAAAAAGGCAACCCTTACGTTCGGCCAAAATTCGAAATTGCCCTTATAAAAACACTTTTGATTCGAAGGTGTACAACGAACATTCTTTTGTATGCAGTTTTATAGCCAATACAAATTTATTATAATAGTATGCAAGTTTGAAGCGACTAAGGGATGGCGTTAATAATCAAAATTTTTTTGTTTGCTGACGGATTTATGTACTTTTTTCTATATAAAAATGAATTTCGTATTGAGGGCGTGTGTGAATCGGTAACAAAGTTTGCGGCAAGTAAATTTTTGACAACTATGAGGTGAATAAAATTTCAGTAGCTCATGAGGCTAGTGAAATTTTTGACAAATGCATAGAAAATTTTGACAATCGCAAAGACTGTTGCTGTGAGTAATTTTTCGTAAAACAAAAGCTTAAATTGATGAAATGCAATCAGTGATGGTAGATGTTTTCTTAAAATATTAATTTCACTTCAATTTGTAATAGTTTATTCCGAATAAATCTGCGGTTATCAAAAATTTACTGCTGTCAAAAAAGATTCCATTTCACACAGCAGATTGGCAAAACTGTCTCACCATAGTAAAAACATTATTCAACAGCTTTCCCCATAGAACTTTGTTACCGATTCACACACGCCCTGAATGGGATTTTATAAATTACACTTATATCAAAAAAAAAAAAAACAAAACGAAAAAGTCGTAAGTAAAAAAAAAAATATGTGTATAGAGCAGGGACCGAGAACGCGTTCCGGTTAAGGTTTAGTTCTGCATGATAACAAAATTTTATATCAAATAAACTAAATGGGAACAAAAGTATTGAGAGCAGTTTGAACGGGAGCAAAATGAGAACAAAAGGTTCGGGAACATTTCCGTAAAGAACAAACAGCGAACAAATCTCTCGAAAACGTTCTCAAGAAGAATAGAATGAGAACGAAACTTTCGCGAACGCTTTCAATGAAAACAAAATGAGAACGAAAGTATGTATCGAGAACGTTTTCAAGAAAGATCAAATAAGAACAAAAGTCTGGGGAACGTTCTGCTAGAGAGCAAAACGAGGACAAAAGTGTTGGGATGAAAAATCGTTTCAGTGAAAACTATGATTGTTAATTCTAAGCCAGAGGATAGCTGTATAATTTCAACTTCCACATCGTTTATCATTAGGGGGCACTGTCCACTTATGAAAAAAATGTTCATTTTCTGTGCAAGAAAAGTTTGTGTCTTAAGTCTT